TTTTTTTCATGTTTTCTCTTTTATTTTTAAATAATAAAATTATGATGAATATTTTCTCTTCTTCTTGTTTTTATTCTTCTTACCTGTTATCTTCTGAAAACTGTTACTCATTCTTGTAGCCGCAGTGAAAGCTGTGGGTGCTTAGAAAGAAATAAAGGAAAGACGGTTGAATCCTTGTACCTTTCACGTATAAGGATACACACAAACAAGCAAGCACGCACAGAAAAAGAAAAGAAAAGAAAAGAAATTAAAGTCGATCAAAGAAAAAAAAAAAAGAAAGAAGTAAAAGAACAGCAAACAAAACAAACAAGAAAAAAAAAGAAAAAGAAAAAAAAAAAAGGGATGGTCTTTTCAATACCCTCCTACTTGGGTCTTGGTGATCGATACAAGCATGCCGTAGACGCACGGGCCCAAGGTGTGAACTTCGTTACGATTCCCCCCAAGACCGGCCACAACCCGGATGCCCTCTTTGATAAGGAGTTTAAATACATGTATAATGGAGATCGCCGCGAGGGTGCGGAGACAATGGCCCGCCGTGAGGCAATGGAAAGCCGAAAGAAAAACATAACAACAACGGGATTTCTACCCACTGGTCCTCCAAAGAAGGGAGAGGGTTTAGGATCTAATTATGGACTCATACAGAAGGATCCTTATCCACACATGCCAGATAATCCGCAGTCACGTGGACCACAACCATTTCCTCAGTCAATGCCACCGCAGATCTTAACATCGCCGGGGAAATTGGGTAGTTATGGTACACCTGGATTGGCGCTTAGCAGTATTGGAAATGAATACATTGCGAACATTTATGATCAACCTCGTATTAATGCTAAGAGAGAACGTGAAATGTGGCGTAGTCGTATGCCGGCAGCGCCATTTAAACCCATTGGACGTCGTGGTTACACATTTGATGAGAGTCCCGCTACGGGAACTTCCACCTGTTATATGATGACAAAACCATTTATGCCAAAGAAGACAACTCCACCACTAAAACACTTTGTGATTGATAAACCATGGCGTCCAGCTGGATACATAGATGATAAGCGTATCTCTATTGAGTACTGGGAAGATCCATATGATGCGTTTGACCCACGCGATGATCCGAAATCGCGGGTGAAGAAGCCTAGTGATGCTGTGTTCAGGACTGGCTACCGAGGGGATAACTTTTGGTATACACAGAGTATCGTGTTTAGGCGACTGTAGTGTAAACAGAAGAGAGAGAGATACTCTCACGATATAGTCAAAGTTCCTCTCCCCCATCTTCCAGTCCCTTCCCCTCCCCCTTCTTTTCCAAAAAAGAAAAAAAGAAACTGAAAGAGAGAAGAAAAAAAAAAAAGTACAAGAGTGACATTTTGCAAGAAAGAAAAAATAAAAGGAAGAAAGAACGAAAGTGAATGTAGAGCAAAAAAAAAAAAATTACTTGATGTGTAGAAATCTAGCACATAGAGATTTTTTATTTTTATTTTTCTGTCTCTTCGTACGACGGCCGTTAACCCTTTAAATCAAGATTGCATAGAAAAACGGTGTGTACTCTTTTTTTTTTTTTAATGTTATTGTTATTGCTGTTTTGTCTGCCTTCTTTTTTTTTATAAAGACACAGACAAACCCACAGAACCAATAGAGAAAAAAAAAATACGTACACAGGGACTGATAGAATTACGGGACTACGTTAATAAAGACGTTGTCTAACTATGTAAACAGATCACTTGTGCAGTTCATTATTCCTCTCTCCCTCTTTGCATATATATATACATATATATGTGTGTGTTGTACGTATATGAATCTCTTCTTATGTACTCAAACGCGCCCCTATATCTTTACAGGGGTCGTGATGTTTATTTGTGTTTTATTTGTGTTTTTTTCTTTATCCAAGTCTTTTTTTACAGTTGCTTTAGTTCTCTTTTTCTGTTTCCCCTTCTACACCCTTTCCAATGTGCAAGAGTCATTCTATTCTCTTTTTTTTTTCTTTTTCTTTCTTTTCTTTTTCTTTGGTTCCTCTTCTGTTTTTGTGAAATAATATAAAGGGTGTTATAGGGTACAAAAGCAAAAGGGAGGGGTGGAAACCGTATCAGTCTCCTGTTAACTCTTATTTGATTATTTTTCCTACAAGGCTATTTCTACAAGATTTAGAAACTAAAGAGAGAAAAAAAAAAGGAAATCTCTTACTTGTTTTATTTTCTTTTTAATTTTTCACATTCTAGTGGTTGTTGAGGTTTCTCTTCTTTACACACACTCACACACATGCAGTCCCATGCAAGAAAGCGGCCTCGACAGAGCGATGAGTGTAGTCTCTCCACGAGAAGTAACAGTTGCGGCAGTGTTCCCCTTCCTGGAAAACGTTCATCATTATCCACTCCCAATGTACCACCTGCGGCCTTTCCACTTTCTTCTTCTTCTTCTTCTTCTTCTACGCATGCACGCACTATCCCATTAACCGCAGCAGATATGGTTTGGGCCCAAAAAACAGCGGAGGTGGAGAAACAACTCGTGCAATTAGCTCAACTGTATACACAGAAGACACAGGAGAATGAGGTGGTGTTAGATGCGATTGAAGAGATGATTGCAGCCCATGAAGTGGAATTAGCGGCTGTTGTTTCCGATAGTGATGCCCACACACGTCAACATCTCAATGCGATGGAAGAGTTACATCAACAGGAACATGCATGTTTAACTGAGAAACAACAGGCATTAGAAGAAATGGAAATATTACGTCAACGCCACAAGGAACTCATACAAACACGGGAACATGTACAAGAAGAAATTGTCGTCCACTCCGATGCCTTGGAACAGGCATATAAAGCGTTAGAAGTGCAATCACAAAAGACAGCAGAGGAGCAAGCGAAATTAAATGCTGTGTTGAAGAAAGTACATGTGATGGAGGATATCTCTTATGGTCTCACGGGTGAAGTGAAGGAAATGGTGTTGGAAATGGAACGCATGCGAAAAGAAAAAGAAGCGGCAGAACATGCAGCGAAGGAAAGTGAAGTCCTTCGTCGTCAGTTGTATTCACAATGTGAGGAATTAAAGGGAACCATTCGTGTTTATTGCCGTGTAAAGGGAGGAAGTGGTGGTATGAATAGCAATCAAACATGTAATGATAAGAATACTCTTGCTGGGAATAATGAAATGATTTCTTTGAGTGATGCTACTCGTGAGGGATCTGTTTCTTCACGAAGTACAATTAGTTCATCCACTGATTTCTTACATAATCGTACTCTTATTCCTGGTGGTAGTAAAAAAGGAGGATTGGGAGGAAAGAAAAAAGGAAATCAACCGTTATCACAACAACAACAACAACAACAACAACATGGACGATTTGCATTTCCACAGGCGGGTGAGGAAATTCAACGAACGCTGTGTTTATGTCAATCCCGTAAGAATGCCACCTCGACGGGAACACAGGAATCTAGAGAAACATTCACATATGATCGTGTCTTTGATGGGACTTCCACACAAGAGACGGTGTATGCAGAGGTGGAACCACTTGTAAACTGTGCTATTGATGGATATCGTGTTTGTATATTTGCCTATGGACAGACGGGATCGGGAAAGACATACTCCATGGAGGGAGATATTGCGGATGAGAAACAGTGTGGAATTACACCGCGTGCTCTTCGCACAATATTTCGTCGTCAAGAGGAATTAAAAGCAGATGGATGGAAGTATAAACTTAGTTGTTACTTTGTAGAAATATATAATGATGTGATACGAGATTTACAACAAGATCCATCCATCTATGAACCCGGTGGTGTGGCGGCCTCACAACCAAACTATCATGTGATTAAACACCAGAATGAAACTGGATACACAAGTGTAAGTGGTGTGGCTGAGAGACGTATTCACTCCTTTGCAGACTTCCAACGACTCTATAATGCGGCGATGAAGAATCGCAGTACGTGTAAGACAATGTTAAATGATCGATCCTCTCGTTCTCACTGTATATTTGTACTTCGCATTGAAGGTGAGAATGCGGAGTTGCGGCAACGCAGTGATGGGATTCTTTGCCTGGTGGATTTGGCCGGTAGTGAGCGGGTGAATGAGTCTGGTGTGCAGGGCCAACAATTTAAAGAGGCAGTGAATATCAATCGCAGTTTACTGGATCTTGGTAAGTGTATTACGGCTTTAAATAACTCCAACAGTGTGGCTCCCTGGCGGAACTGCAAATTAACATTTCTACTGCAGCACTATTTGGGTGCGAAGGGTGGGAAGATGCTCATGTTGGTAACGGTGTCGGATAAGGAGGAACACATGGCGGAGAGTCTCAACTCTTTGCGGTTTGCAAGTCGGGTGAATCAAACCGTTGTAGGACCATCTGTAAGGCGGGTAAACAATTATTGAGGATGGGGGTAAAGTGAGGAAAAGGAAATAAGAATTAAGAACAACAATAGATATATATATATATATGAGAGAGAGAGAGAATGAAAGAGTAGACGCATACATAGAATAGATCTTTTTTTTTTTCTTATTATTAGTTTTCGCTTTGTGTTTGTGTATATGTGTCTATTTATCTCTATCTATCTATCTGAGATAATGCTCTTTAAAAAAAAAAAAAAGAATGTTTATATTCATATATATATATATATATATATATATATATATATATATATATATGGTAGACTTAGTGAAACAAATGAAGATATGACCTTGATCTCTTTATGTTTTATTTATTTCATTAATGATCCAGTATTAAATTAATATATCTTTCTTCGTTCTCATTTCTTTCCTTTTTCTTTCTAAGTGAACAGACAGACAGACAGACAAGCAGAGAGAGAGAGAGTAAGGGGCGCTACTTATATCCTTACCACCGCTAACTAAAAGAAAAGAAACACAGTTTTATTATTATTATTATTATTATTATTATTATTATTATTATTATTTGTGGTTCTCTCACACTCTCACCCAAACAAAACATATGTCTATTCCCGAGACTCACGAGGAACATCCATTTAATCTCATTCCAGAGCTCTGCCGTCTCTTTTATTCTCTTGGTTGGGCCACCGGCACTGGCGGCGGTATTTCCATTCGACTGGATGATAAATATTACGTGGCCCCCAGCGGTGTGCAGAAGGAACGGATTAAACCAGATGATATTTTTGTCCTCGACGCCAATGCAAAAGTAGTGGAAATGCCGAGAAATAAAAATGTTGTCAAGATGAGTGAATGTACACCACTTTTCTTTAATGCCTTTACCATGCGAAATGCCGGAGCCTGTCTTCATTCCCATTCTAAAAATGCCGTACTCGTTACACTTCTTCATAAAAAGGAATTCCGCATCTCTCACATGGAAATGATTAAAGGAATTACAAATCCCATTTTGAAAAAGGCCATGGGGTTCACCAACACACTTGTCGTGCCTATTATAGAAAATACAAACTTTGAATCTGATCTCACTGCCTCTATGGCTGCTTGTATGCAAGCGTATCCAGAGACGAATGCTGTGTTGGTGCGGCGCCATGGTATTTATGTATGGGGCGATACCTGGCAGCGGGCGAAGGGAATGATGGAATGTTTGGATTATCTCTTTGGGCTTTCACTGCAAATGAAAGAATTTCATATTCCTCTCGTGATGGACGACTAAAGGAGTGTGGACATCATCACTAGAGAGAAAAGAAAAAGAAATAAACAACCCATGTTTATATATATATATATGTATAATATATAAATATATATGTTGTGTATGTGTATATACAATATACCGGAGACCATGAAATTAACAAAAGAAGAGAAAGAGAAAGAAGAATGAGAGAATATTTTTTTTAACTGAGTAGTTTCGTGACATTTTCTCTGCGTAATTGATTAAAGAAAAGCATTCCGTCTTTTACAGAAAAAAAAAGAAATAAAAAAAACACTACATTATTTAGCAAGTGGAAATTATTCTCTCTTTCTTTTCCTTTCCTTTCTACATTTGTTATTTTCTCTCTGTGATGCCTTTTTTTTTTTGTTTTTGTTTTGTTTTCTTCTCCTTCTCTATTTACATTTGAATTGACTTTGTTCTTTACTGACAACGTAACGAAGTTGGGAAAGGGGTTCGGGCTTTTATTTTTCTCTTCTCTTATTTTCAACGTATTGCTTTTTCTTCTGCTGTTTTTGTTTTCTTTCCTGCAGTTGCTGATATTTGGAAGATTTTAAAAGAAAAAAAAAATACGACCAGATGGAGGCTAAGCAATCGAAAGACTATTTTTCTTTGTTTATTTGTGCGTGTGTGTGGGTATCCACACTGTTTTTTTTTTCTCTTTTTTCTTTTTTCTTGGTTTTTCTCACTTATTATATTTACACCTCACTACGCATTGTGCAAATGACTCTCTCAGTAGTGGATTCTTTTGTGTTAATACTCTTTATTTTAATTTGTTTACTGTTTTGTTAAGTTTATTTTCTTTTTCACTCTCCGTTCCTAATATATATATGTATATATGTAGACTGTTGCCTTTCTATCTGTTTTGTTATTATTATTCTTTTCTTTTCTTTTTTCTTCTTTTGAATGATGGTTGAATATCAATCAGCTTCATTTTTTTTTTTTTTTCCTCTTGAGTGGGAGAAGTCCTCTCTTGACAGACGCATACACACATACACACATAAAAAAATATATATATAGTGCCAGTACTATAAACAAAGAAGAAAAGAAAATACGAACGGGTTTATTATTTATTATTATTTATTACTGTGCCACAACCATCGTATTTTTATTAAACCTCCTCTTCATTTTCTCTAGGATATAAAAAAAAGTACGTCTATCTATATATATATATATATATATATATATATACATACATACATACATACATACATACATACAATAACTATAATTCCATCTAGAAGAAAGTCAGAGAGCTGGAAGTGACGGTTAACATGCAGCATCCCAGCAAACAGCAGATTCAACCAATTGACTCCCTCACACCGTTCCTTGGCGGTAAATGGTGGATTCGCGCCCGCGTAACAGACAAGTCGGATGTTCGCACGTGGAATAAACCAACTTCGCAGGGTAAACTCTTCTCCTTTACACTCATTGATGAGTCCACATCCATCCGAGCTACGGTATTTAATGATGCCGTAGATCTCTTTGATCCACTGCTTGTGAATGGTCAGGTGTATTACTTCAGTGGTGGTCAGGTGAAGAATGCGAATCGCAAGTTTAGCAATGTAAACAACGACTATGAGTTAACATTTGACTCCAGTAGTCAAATCTCACTTGCCCGTGATACCGGCAGTGCCTCTATTCCACAACAACGCTACAATTTTGTGCCTATTGCTATTCTCAAACAACGTGAAGTGGGATCATTGGTGGATATTCTCGCCGTGGTGTTGGATGTAAGTGAGATCAGCAGCATCACGCAACGCTCCACTGGGCGGGAGTTGGTGAAACGAACACTACGCATGGGGGATAACACAGCAGCGGTGGAAGTGACATTATGGAATGAACAGGCACGGGAATGGACGGCGGCGGCCGGCACAGTTCTCGCCATGCGGCAAATGAAGGTGGGAAGTTACGATGGAGTGACTCTCTCCACCACATTTCAATCCACCATAGATGTAAATCCCGCATTGGATCATGTGAAGAAACTCGCCGAGTGGTATATTTCTACTGGTGGCCGCGATATCACATCTCTTTCTTCTCTTGGCAATGCTGCTGGGGCTAATGGAATGGCTGGTGGTGCGGGCGGAGAAACATATCGTGGGCGTAAATACTTTGATGATATCGCCGCTGAGGGATTGGGCCGATCCGAAAAACCAGACTTCATTGATGTTCGCTGTATGCCGGTGTATGTTAAGCAAGATGCCCAATGGTATGATGCCTGTCCACAGTGTAATAAGAAAGTCACACTGGAAGGTGCCCAGGGGGATCGTTATCGTTGTGAGAAGTGTGATCAGCAGGTGGTGCCCACACAACGTTATCTCGTTTCTTTTCAGGCAACCGATAATGTTTCTCAAATGTGGGTTACACTCTTTAATGAGGCGGGTGTGGACTTCTTTGGCATGACAGCACCGGAACTGAAGAAACAACATGAGGCCGATCCAACCTTTCTCACTCAACTGCTGCAGTTACGAATGAATCGGCCCATGTTAATGCGAATGCGCGTGAAGGAAGAAAATACATCCAACTTCTCTGGAGCCGCCGTGGGCGCAGAGACGGATCGTGTGCGGTTGACGGTCATGCGATTGACGGAGTTTATGCCGCTGGATACCGTATCGGAGGAGAAGCGGCAGGCAATGGCCGCACAGCTGAAGGTGGAATGCGAGGATATGATTAAGTGCATTGAGGCATACAGCTGAGAAGGCCAAGTCCACACAGAGAGACATAAACAGAGAGAAAGTATTTTACATATATATTAAAAAAAAAAGAGAAGCAAGAAGGAAGGATGAGTGGAACTTAAAAAAAAAAAAAGGAAAAAAAATAAATACAAAAAAAAAAAAATCATAGAACAAGAGCGAGATATAGAATCTATTCTTCAGATAGTAAATAAAAGTACCTCGAAAAGAGGCATCAACAACAACAACAACAACAACAACAGCAGTGGCTGTCTGTGTGGAGGGACAGAGAAAGGAGAAGGCCCAGTGGTAAGAAGAGAAAAAAGAAAAGAACACAGACAGATGTGGGTGAGAGTTAAATATTAAAAAAAAAAAAAAAGAATAAAGAAAGAGGCAGGAAAAAAAATAAAAAGAAAAAAAAAACACATCCTTTGTAGAATTGTCTCTGTGGAGGGGGTAAGAAAAGAAATATATATGAGTGTTGTAAATGTATTTCTTTTTTTTTTTTTACTTCTTCTTCTTCCTCTTATTTGTATCATTGCTGGTATTGGGTTTCTCCTGTTCTTTTCTTTTCCATTTTCCCCAGTCTCAGATATCGCAGTATCTGCGTTTATATCATCTATACAAATGAAAATATACACATGAATATCTGTATATATATATATATATATATGAACAGGAATAAACTTCATGGTAATAACTTTCCTTCCATCTGTTTCTCTCGTATTGTTGTGTACTATTTCTCTGTAGGGCTTATTCACACAATTTATCTTGTGTGAAAAAGGGCAAAAAAAAAATAGAGGTATATACATATATATATATATCAACAAAAAAAAAGAAAGAGAGAGAACCAAAAAAAAAAAAGAAAATGAAGGGATCTCGACAGGTTCTTGCTAATATCCGTCCTGGTATCAACTGGAGTCTTCGTTCACAACAACAACAACAACAACAACAACGGGTGATATTACCAATTCGTGTGTATATTGCCGCGGCGATGTGTGTCTCAGCAGCGAGAAGTCTTCACACACCACTGCAGCAGCAGATGCGTACACTTCATCTCTCCGCTATTGTACGTTCCACCGCAGAAACCCCTTTAACACCAACATCAGAAAATAACAACAATAACAGTGAAAATAATAATAACAATAATAAAAATAATAGCGTGACGGCACTAGATATAGCTATTCGCGTGAATAAACTAAAGCGACTACATCAGACCGGCGGTGGTCCAAGTGGGAAGAAGCGGATTGAGTTAGACGCCTGGAATGATCTCAACAGTCTCACGGATGAACAAATTAACGCCGCGGAGGGAAAAGCCGTCTCACTGCTGCTCAACTCATGGGCGTACTTTGCAAAGTATTGGGAACAGGGAAAAAATGGACCGGCGGAGGCCTCCACCGCCTCTGCAGGTGAAGTCTCTTCTCACAGTGAAGAAGCACAGAGAGACAGTGAGAAGGCAAAGGAATGAGTGTAGATGTGAGGGATGAAATGGAGGATTGTCTGTGCATTTTGTTATCTCTCTCTCTTTTTCTCTTTTTTCTTTTTTTTTTCTTCTTGTGGTTTAACACTACACATGGAGAACCAATATATTCAAAAAAAAAAAAAAAGATTCTGTTGCTTTTATTTTGCATTTTTGGCATGATTCTCTTCTTTTCTCTTTTCTCTCTCTTTTCTTATTTTGACTAATCCACTACTACTCTTGTTCTCCCTTCAACACCCAATGTAGGCAGAGGAAGGGTGAGGGAGAGAAAAGAAAAGAAAAGAAAGAAGGAAAAGGGAGAAAAGAGGGAAGGGAGGAGATTTAATCCTCTTTTCTTTTCTACTCAGCTGCCAGATCTTTATTAGTTTCATTTTGTGTATAGCGTACTTTTATCTCTCTCTATTTATCTATCTATATTCCCTCACAGAACTTCCTCCCTCGAGCTCCTCCAGCCAAAAAGAAGGCCATTGTGAGTACTGACTCTCTCTCTCTTTATATATATATATATATATATATATAGATATAGATATCTGTGTGTGTGTGAGAGAAAAAAAAAAAATTGTGTATTTGTGTGGCGTATGCGTCGTGTGATTGGTGCCTCACCATGGCGTCTCGCAACAGTCTTAGCAAGAACAACAATGACAACGATACCAATAAGAAGAATAACAAATACGACTACAATAATAAGAAAAAGAAGAAGAACAGCAAATGTACGGTATTCCTTGACTACCACATCCTTCACAGATATAATCACTTTACAAATGGCTCGCCGAAGTCATCGAAACGTCAATTCACCCACGAACGAATCTCAACCATATCAACAACAAGATCGTAAGAGAAGGCAAGATATAAATCACAATCACCATAGTCAACAACAGACAAAATGGAAAGATAATAACACACGTGGACGGCGACGGGAACGCGATGATGTGCAGAGCGAGAATACAAGAAAACAACGAAATGAAACCAAAACAACTGGTCGTTTTTCTCATCGCCACGGTGCAGCAACAATACCAACAACAACAACAGCGGCGAGAGGAACAGATCGTTATCCATCTGGAAATGCAACTCCATCCAAACAACAACAACAACAACAACAAAAGGTATCGTCTCGGGCATCGTTTGCTGCATTTGAGCGTTTAGTTAAAATACATTTGACTATGCGGAATAATTGCGAGTCTCTACAACAAGAACAACAAATTCTGCATGGCTTCTCTACAGTTTGTGGAGAGGCTCTATTGCAGTTAGAATTACCACTGCGCCGTGGGAAACAATTGGACACGGGTGAAAAAGAAAAAGAAAAAGAAATAATAGTGGAAGTACGTGAGAGATCTACAGATGAGAGTGAAGGCGGTGGTGTGGAGGAAATGCCTGCACTCTTATTAGCAGCCGATAGTTTACTGTATGCAAACCCCATCACATTTCCCCCATTACCCCTCGAGGCGTTAATAAAGAGCAGCACTTTGCATAGACCAAATACACATGATGGAAGTGAGGATTTGCTCTTGGCGGAAATGGAATCCCCGGAAGTTTCACAGAAAGAATCAACCATAAAAGGAGAAGAAAAAGAAGGAAAAAGAATAAAAAGAGGAGGAGTTAAGGATACGGATGATGTGGATGCTACTAGTACATTGTGGGATTGTAGTACACCTGGTCTGGAGAGTGTTATTGCAGCTTTACAGCGTGTGCCTCTTGCAGAGATTGTACAGTTGATGGAAACCCTTGCGTACTTTAAATGGGTAAAGGATGAGAAATTTCTACTGCGGAAGTTAGGGGAATCTGCATTAGAGGAATTGCGTAGTGAAGTGGTAGCACTTCAAAGTATCCATGGAGAAAAGGGAACAGAAGAAGGATCTTATTATTCTCATAATCACAATAACGTTAGTCATGAGAAGATGACTAATAATAATAATAATAATAATAATAATAATAATAATAATAATAATAATAAAACGACAAGTAGCACAGTTAATGTCAAGAGGAGTGAAAAGCTCGATAGTATGGTCAAGAAATTTCTTGATTGTATTCCCCGTGTGGATCGTGTGGAAATGTTATCAACATCATCATCATCAACAGCAACAAATTCGTCTTCCTCGCAATTAGAACCCCATGTACATGTTATTGATCTCATGTTAAATCTATTAATGCGTGTGTGTCTCTCTGTTTGGCCTAAAATATCATTTGGTGATCAGACGGCTCTTGTGCTTATCTGCAGTTGTCCCTGGTTTACTCAGAGTCTAGCCGTAGAGGCGGCAACATGGATGACCTATTATCATCTTAAAAGCCTCGCTAGTGGAGATTCGAGTTTAAATTACCAACGAACCTTTATGTACATACAACGTCTGCGTCGTCTCTGTTGGCCAACAGTGTATGATGTAGATACTAGCATTGTACGAAAGTTGTTTTTGTTAGATAAGACCTCATCCGAAAGTGTTATTACAGTGGATAATAATAATAATAATAATAATAATAATAATAATGATAATGGAGATACAGATGTGAATTCCAGTAAGAAAGAGTCTAAACAACAAAAACAAGAACAACAGATTAAAAAGATAGATGAAGGTAACAAAGCAAAACACTCTTTTCCATTTCGAGAATTAACATGTGTATTATATGGAACTCCAGAGAAACAACAAATGGCTTATGAATTACTTCTCTTATGGTTAATGCAGGCCAGCCCAACAGACCTTCACCGCACTTCTCCACATAGACACTACAGTAGTGCTACCACTATTGCCATTGCCGATATAGACCGTTTCGTCACGGAACGCTTTTATAAAGAACACGAAAAAGGTCATTGGCTTCTATTACGATCGTTAGAGTGTAATCGTGATGCCCCTGGACTCGCGGTAGATGCGGCGGCGGCGATGGCGGTTGAAAATATCACACAAAGTGTAAAAACACCGTACTTCCTTACACGACTTTTATTCTGTAAATATCATCTTCTTATTCCACGTGTATGGCAAAGTATTAGTGTAAAACGAAGGGAGTTAATATGGGCTTCTTGGTTACGTGGTGTGGCTGGACCGATGGTAAATGTGATGCTTATGAATCCAGTGAATATAAATGGAAATAGTTTGCATTTTTTAGAGTCACTCATAGCTATTTTATCATCTGATGTTATGTTTTTTCGATTTATTACTCGTCTCGTCATTGTTTCGTTACTTGATATGGGAAAGATAGAGAATAATCGATCTGCAGAAGAGTTATGTACACAATTCATTGAACTAGTGTACACTAGTGCCCTTATCCTTCATTGCAGTGCAAACAACTTGTCTGGGACTAGTGGTCTAATAGATGCAGAGGTAACAACAATAACAACAACAAACGATACGAATGCCGTTAATAATAATAATAATACTAATAGTAATACTAATAATACGCTACAACAAGAACAACACCAGGAGCAGAGCATCGTTGTTGCTATTCGACGACCTTTTAAGGCTGCCTTAAATACTGTGATCCATCGACTGGGAGCTGAACATGTACCAGTGGCTGAATCTCTCTTAGATGCCTTTCTCTTCCGCATCCATCAATGCGATATGATGGGAACAGAACCCGTGCATTCCATCCAACGCGAGATTCTTCATATCTGCGGTGAGGACACACGTGAGGTCCTGCGCCGTTGGCTTTCCCAGCGGGCGACGATGCGGGAGGAAGAAGAGGAAGAGGCGGAAGCGGGCGAAAAGAAAGTGGCGATGGACTTCACCGTGCGGGGTTGGCGGCATGCCGTGCGGGCAGCGGAGGCGGGGCTGCCAACAACACTGCCGGGATTGGTGGAATGTGCACGGGGAGTGTTGATACTCCTCCGAAGGCGTGGACACCCATTCTTTCCTCCACAACAACAAGAGAAGGAGAAGGAGGAAGAAAAGGAAATGGGAAAAGAAGGGGTATTTAGTGTGAGTGAACTGCGGGTGATTCTGACCGTCTTGTCTCGGGCGATGATTTCACGTGTTTCATCGTTAAGAGTTGGGGGATCAACGAGTCTTTCCCAGGAAATAATATCTCTCACCACATCCTCGTATGGAGGTGAGAATGGGGAGAACAGCCATAATAATAATAATAATAATAATAATAATAATAATAATAATAATAATAATAATAATAATAATAGTAATAATAAGCATACGGAAGGACAAACAGCTGTAGTGATAACGAATCCCAGTAGTTCAGAACGTGCGCTTCTTCTAGAGAAGGCCCTTTCTGCAGAAGTTGTTTCTAAAGCGAATGAACTTCCTTGGACATCTCTTCTTGAGGCCATTGAATTACATCTGGTTCCATACAATATATTAACAATTCCTTATAATGCCTTACATGAAAGTAGAGCTGCGGGTAATGCCAAATTCCATGCTATGCTGCACAGAATGGAAAAAGATATTCAAACACGACGTCATTATCGTCTTGTGGGAAATCTTGTGTTTTATCGTTGCTATGCCTTTGCCATTCCCAACGATAGTGGATGGGCAGAAACTGCACGAGAAACGTACACTCATACACAAGTAGGGAAAAAAGAAAAGGAAGAAAAAAGGAAAATAATGATAGATAAGGAAAAAACGATTAATGAATCTGAATATTCAAAAGGTAACAGTCCATCTACATCCCATAAGGATGAACGAGAATTACAAGATATAACATGGCTTCTCTTAAAGGCTTTGGTTCGAGGTGAAATGGGACAAGCAAAGAAACAGAATAAGAATAAGAAGAAAACGGCAACAACAGAAAAAAAAGAAGAGGGAGAGGGTGGAGAAGGAGGAGAACAAGTAACCCCATCATCATCATCATCAACAACAACAACTACTACTACTACTACTACTACTACTACTAGTAGTACTACGGATAACAATAGTGATATTGAGAATGTAAAAGAAATGCAAATGGAACGTATTCTCGGTTGTCATGCTCTGATGGCGTACATGCGACTGGCCCAACCAAACACATCTTCCCCTGCATTGCGTGAAGTATATGAGGAATTCCTCCAACGCGCTACACCCACCGCAGCACAACTCGCCGGTCCACACACCGATAGTGATATGGTTTTCTTATGGCTCGCCGCAGCAGCCACACTTATGGGTGTGCGATTTAATCCACCGAGATCCTACACGTGGCCAACAACAGGCACAATAACAAATATGCAGGATTACAACGGTTCAACAGAGTCTCTATCGTTAGAGGAACGAACAATGCGTGTGGTGACGTCCCTCGCACCATGTGTACAAAGTGAGTTACAACAACGCTCTAATCCACGATTAAAATTTCTTGTTAATGTTATTGTAGCTATGCAAGTATTTGGAAGTCTGGGTCTTTTTATGGATGCTGGTAGTCTTAGTGTTGATCAATTGCTACTACGTGCGAGTTCTGAACGTCGATTATTACACCGTCATCTCAATCTCTTTCTTGTTGGTTGTTCTGTACTCCCCAGTACTCGGCATGCTTTACTGAATACCGCTTCATTTCTGCGAGAAGCACGTAATATTCTTACACCAGCAGAGATTGAACGATCTTTTATTGCGATTGCGTTATCCGCAGATGCTTTTGCTAAACATCATGAGGTACAGGCGGATATACAACAACAGCAACAACAACAACAACAAGGAAGTATGTTTGATCTTGCTCACTCTACGGCTCCTACATTACGAGTTACTCCAACACAATTACGGCATGCTTGGAGTGCTTTAACTCGCCGAATGTTGGAGTCTGTGAATGAGATTCCTACACCAGTATTTGTAAAGGGAATTCATTGTGCTGGGGCTGTAGCCTGTGTAGATACAGTTGTATTTCAACAACTTTTATCATTTATAGTGGAATTTCGACAAAAGGAACTTTCACTTATGGATTGGACTGTAATTCTTCGAACAGCGCGAAAATCATTTGAAAATCAAAGAGTATTTGAGGAATACCTTCGAGAACCTTTACAAACCCTTTTACAGGAAATGGAAAAGCAAATCGTTAATCCTCGTTTATTTGTACAAGAATATCCACAAGTTGAACTCAATAGTGAACAACAACTTGAAAGACTTTGTCTCTTTATAGAAGCATTACCGGAGATGTTTGTGGGGGATGCCGAATTCTGGGAATTATTACGTCGGGCTCTTAGAGCTCAGTGGATGATGTGGTCTAACTCTTCCTCTCTTTCCAAGGAGTCCAAACAACAACAACAACAACAACAGCCCTCAAAGGTGTGGTTGGAAGAAATTACGAGAAGTTATGCATGGGCAGTACGTACTGCTGGACATCATGATTTGAAAGATCCCTCTATTTTATGAAAATAAGAGGAGTGGAAATTCTTAATTATAGATTCACTTTGTTGCTGGTCATTATTATTATTATTATTATTATTATTATTATTATTATTATTTCTTCCTCTTTTCTTTAGGATAAGAAGAAGAGTGATGGTTTATGTGGTTAGACAAAGATGTGTGTCGTTTGCGTGTGTGTTATCGTTGGGGATTCTTGGGTTTTGAACACGAGAGGCGTTCTTCTACTGGTCTTGTTCTTTTGTCTTTCGCTTCTCGTTCTTGATGCTGTTATTTCTTTTTCTTTATATATATATATATATATATATATATATATATATA